TGGTAGCATCCAGAATACAAGTGTTGATTCATAGAATACATTGCTTATGTCTGTGTGAGTGTGAACATTTGAAACAATAAAATACCAACTGCTTGTTTACTAAAAACATTACATTGGCTTATCAATGACCAATTTAATTCAGTATGTTGTTATTTTTTATTGAAGTAATGTAGCGTTCATGAAGAAACGTTGGTCTAGATGAAGTACAATTATGAATATATGCAAAACTGATCGATCGTTAGATTATCCATGTAACTTCTTAAAATTCATTTGACAAAACATATTCCTTGCAGATACTTTAATTCTATAATAATAAAACTGTTTTTTAATAGGAGTACATTCTCTTTTGGTTCCTAATAATAAAAAGCAAAACATTAGAGAAATAACTATTGGTAATTATCCTGAAATCTAATTCAGATAGGGAGTGAAGGTAATCAAAACGATTTCTATTGAGTTATGTAAAAAACGTTCCGCAAACTTGTCCTGCGATTTATTTGGGATTCCATTGTGTAGGCAGACAGACATGATATTTGTAATTTCAACGGAGTGCTTGGTTAAACTTCATCTCAAGCAAATTTTCGAACTCACTTGCCTGTATGAACTGAAACATAGTGAAAAATGACGTTATTTGCTTACAAGCGAGTACACTTACAAAGCACAAAATAACAATCGGTTATAAGCACTCAGAGTATCAATCGAACCGTAAACAATACAGAAGTGAACTCAGACATAAACCTAATAATCCGATAGCTTATGAGGACGTTCCTGTGGAATAGAGTTTATTTTTTTTATTATTTATTTTAACATATAGATATCGGTACAAGAAGGCACCAAATACATATGCGCCACACAGATCTCATCGGATATGTGTGAGGGCTGTGATACTGCCCGGATGCCCAAACCGAAGCAGGTGGTTTTCTTAGGGGGCCACACCCTGAGCCTTTGACCTGAAGATCTGATCCACAAGGCAGTGGAGCATCGTAAGGAGATTCAGTCCCATGGTAGCCGGTGACCAACGATTGGTTCATACGCCATTTGTTCCTTCAGGATACTGGAGCCTATGTGCACGATTAGATTGGGATCCGGTCAAATCGCCGGACATTCGCTTTTCGTCCTCTCATTTTCGTAAACAAAACCCCCGCCACGAGAAGGCAGTGAGTAGGACTTCCCTGGCAGGGGCTGTATATGCGTGTCCATGTGAGAGCATTTCGAGAAGGAGAGCGGACTCTCCCCACTCTCGGCCGTACCAGGACATTTGGAGGCTGTGGAAGAGAGAAGGAAATACTACACAGAAAATGTCAGTTAAGTCCGAGATGTAGTGTTTGCAAACGAAAACTGGGGTGAATGACTGACGTAAAGCTGTCAGAGTAAAAGGGTTGTCATATTACAGTTTTGCTTATTGTGGTAGTTGAATGAACAGGTAATGTTGAGTGTGGTGGCCGGAGCAACCAATTTTATTTTCTAGAGTGATTACTGATACTTGGATGATAAGAATATTCAAGAACGATCAATTATAAAATGATTAAACATTTAAAGTTCTTATAATCTCCCTTATGAAATAGGATATACTTACAGGTGTAAATATATTCAAGGCATCTTCAGACGAGAAGTAAGCATCAGCGAAGCGAACAAAGGACGAGAGTGATTTTATTTCACAAACTGATTGTGGTAAAATACTCTAGGGTTTCGAAAACTTACTGGTAGAATAATTGATATGGAGAGATTTTGAATATAATCGTTTCACTAATGATAAAAAGTTATGGATGCTGTAACTAGGAGTTTCTGCATACTGAATTGCTTCATTGGATGTAAAAGATAGTTTATCAAGTATTTTGAAGAATAAGATTAGATTTCATTTCATTTCGTTCTTTCATAAATGGTCAAGTCCAGGTTTATTACATCTGAATTTCTAATTTAAGGTAAAACCAGTCCCCAGAATGCCAAGTGTAAATCGTCTCTGGATGAATTCCAACCGTAATTTATCCTTTATGAGACTACCAAGAATAAACGTGTAATATTCTATGAATGGTCGAACACATACTTTATACATCAAAATACGTAACTCGTAGTTATAGAGGTTACGAATTATGCAATCCAGAAGACGCTGAGACTTGGATATCTGTTTCGAGACCTGTTCTATGAGGGACAAATTGCGAGAGCACCTAAGCCTTAAATCTACTGCTGTATGTAACCTGGATAAAACCTTGCAATTTATAGTAAAATCTAAGTTGATTGAAGTATTATCAAAGTACATTCATCCACATTTAGCCGAGTTAAGCTCCAACATGCATTTAGAGCATCACTGGGCTACCTTGTTAAGCTCCATGCCGATTCAAATTTGATTATTGTTCAGCTCTTGGGGAGAAAATGCATTATTTCAAGATCATCTGCATATAGAAAAGACCGACCCATACAAAATGTAGTTTAAAAAAGATTAAAAGGACAAATGACCTACGACACTACCTTGTATCACACTATATTTAACCTAGATGGTATCCGACAAAGAGGATTTTATTTGACCATTTGATGTCGGTGACTAAGGGAACAATAAAACCAAGTAAGCAGAGACCCTGTAAAATGTGAGTTAGCCTATAATAAGTACTATGATTTATTCTAATCTGTGAACATTTGACATTTTTATTCGTATAGGTTTGTGGAGACTAATTTATTACGTACGTTGTATTCGTTAATGACTGATCTCAGTTGTACTAATATTGATAAGCAAGGAAAATTGTACAGTTGTTTTCTTTTAATATGGAATCCCGCAGTAATGTACATCAACGACCATTTCTAACTGGTCTCCTCGATTTTATATCTTTCCTAAAACTTATTATAGTTAAGTAATAAGGAACTATAACAGTCTGAAATCACCAACATTATTTTCTTCAACTAATCGACAAATCTCATAAGTGCAGTTCATATCACATATATGCAGATACTTTCAGTGGACGATCAGTGAATAACCGGCACACAATTATACAGCATTATAATCAACAGTCAACTACGACATATCGATCAACTGGTTATAAACATGATAGAAAAAATGTGTTCACATAGGCTATATTACATAGTTAATTCTTTTTGATGCTGTCATGTAGATAAAAAATAAGTGAGTATCAGTAAACTGCACACGATAACAACATAGTGTTATCTATTGGAAACTTGCAAGGCAAATTGTTTAATATAATAAGACTTATGAGTACTGTTGTGATATTCGTTAGTTTGATTTTATTTGCTTACAAGCCATCAACTAGAAGTCCGGTTGATAAGCCTCGTGTCAATTTTTCGATTTAAACAATCATCAAATATAATTACGCAAAATTGAATATTGTAAACAAAAACCTATAAAAATTAGTAGTGAGAATAATAAGTTATTGCACCAATAGCGAGTGTAGAATATTCCATTTGTGAAATTTGCAATTTTTTTAAAAATTCATTACAAAAAGAGGAACATACAATTTATTTAAGTTATGTAATTACTTACGCCTGTTACTCCTCGTGAAGGAGCATAGGCCGCTTACCAGCATCTTAGTTAAGTTATGTAATTAAGATCTCCTATATTGAAAGATATTTTATATGAAGTATGGAAATATCCCAATAAAACGATAAACTATTTTTATATATAATCAACACCCGATTTACAGATTTCCTATATGTAAATGTCATTAGAAAAGTGATATTTTAATCAAATTCATTCATATATATATATATATATATATATATATATATATATATGTAGTTTAGTTACAAATAACAAAATTTTGAAGTATTTATAACGTAACAGATGAAAATGTTCACCATTTCAAACACTGTCAAATTCATTGATACACATGTCTTATTTTGGCTTTTGTAAAATATCACAATGGTTATAAACTTAGAACTGTAGAGCCTAATGATAAAGTTATTGAAAACAATTGTTTGTTCAAATATTCTTCATGTTTGAATATTTTATGGGGATTTTTAAAATGATAAAATTAATAATTAGAACTTTATTAAAGCCCCTTTCAAATGTTAACATGCCAACAGATATGGATCTATATTACAACACACAAATATATTCATCACAAAATTGACATTAATACAGCTTTTAAAACGTATAGAAATTGTCAAGGACGAAGTCCCAAGTTTATTGAAGCCTTGGCTATTCATAAATTTAACCCCCCCCCACCTGTGTGTACTAAAACAATTTGTCGTAACCTTGAATTTACCTTGGTAACCCTTTAGTTATTCTATGGCCTAGGATAACGCGACAATTTCTTATTATGTTTTATACGATGTAAAATTGTTTCTCTCCCCTTTGTTACTTTTTTACTTGAACTTCCATTTAAGTGACCTTTCTCAATTTTCATATAAAATGCCCTGACAAGTATATGTATGACTAGATTGTTCGAAATGTATAGCGTAAATACATCACATTTTTCTGATCAATTCCATCTTCTCACTGTTCTATCGAAATAAATAATAAATTGATAGATACACTATTATCAGAAGGGGTTTTGTGGAGATTTTAGAAATTTCACTAATTGAAATCATGAGTCCATTGAAGCTAGACCATCATAGAAAACCTGGAAACACTATTAATCGAATGAATAACAAATGAAATTTTAATTATGTACATGATTCGAATAACAAAAACAACATATTCTCACTAGTGACTGACTTCAAGAGGTATATCCTGCAGTTCTAGTGAGAAGTAGTGACCAGTGGAATTCAACCAGGTCTGTTGTGAGATAGTAACTCACTGAAGACAATGGTGGATGTGTCGCTCAATTTCGTGGATTAGTTGAAGTTAGACATTAACACCGTTGGATGCCGGCTCAGTGGTCTAGTGCTCGCGCGCGAAACCGGTAGGTCCTGGGTTTGAATCTCGCAGGGGGCGAGGTCGTGGATGCGCACTACTGAAGAGTCCCACAATAGGACGAAACGGCCGTCCAGTGCTTCCAGGTTTTCCATGGTGGTCTAGCTTCAACTGACTCATGATCTTAACCACTGAAAAATATTTTTTGTTCATTATAAAAACTTTTATTTTGACAAGACAAAAATTATTATCATAATAAGAATATTCATAGAAGATAACAAGGAAATTAAGAAACAATAATTGATTGAACGTATACATGGGCTGCATTGAATATAAACATTATGAAATAAGCATTAAAGTGACCGATGATTGTCTCGTTGTATATAAAACTAAAGAAAAACGAACAAACAAACAAACTAATGTAGAAAAATAATTTATTAAAGGTTAATTAAAAACTAATTTCTTTTTCAATGAATGGTAAAAGAAAAAGAAAGAAATGAATATCACATGAAGAACGTCAAGACAACATTAGAATGATTCTTTTGTTTACATTACTGAATATCATTTACATATTGAACAAATAAGATTCATTTATAGAAGTTTATTGTACATGACGTGAATATCTAAAATTATTTATAAGATAAGCCATTGGAATAGGTAAGAAACGGGCAACAAAATAACATACTATAGCTGTTTGAAGGAAAATGAAAGTTAGTAATTGTGGATGATAACAATAAGATTCAAGCATTTTTATGCCTGATGGTTTCATATATGTTGTTTTAACATTATTTATTGCATCAGTATCATAACATTCAGCTTCAATATCGGTTGCATAAGTCCCTTGAAGTGATGATTCAAGTTTATGAAACGGGCATGAATAATTTAATTGTTTACCATCAATATGATCATGGGTTTCACATTTAGTTGGCCATAGATTAAGTATTTTATCAGTTTTTAAAGGTAATTTTGTTTCATTAAGATAATAAAATCGAAGATAAAAATTATTGGATGATGATGATGAACGATGAAGTTCTACTATCAAACAACTTGCCAAAGGTGGTTTGATTCTATAAAATGAAAACAGAAGGAAATAACCTCTTTATTTTATGTATGATTAATTAATGGAAACAAAATAAAACATAAAAATAAATGAAACTACTTACATATACGTGTACAATACATGAACCTCAAACGTTTTTACACAAACAGTCAGCAGGCTTATGAATTGACACCAACTATCCTTCTTTCTACTTATAATCACCTAAGTTTTTCCTGATGCATAACTTTCTCGACTAATTTATACACTACACCTGAGATATTACGAATAACATATTATTATTTATTTGTTTATTATTAATGACTTTATTCAATATTGTTATCCACAGTCTGATCATTTTACAACCACCACGTCGGTCTCTGACATAGATTTTATCTGTATAACAATTAATGTAAGCTTTAAAATTTTATAAAGAACTGTCTGCACTAGTTGTAAAAGTCTGCTAGCCATTAACTCTTTAAAGAACGAGAAATTTCTTTAAAATATGAGACAGTTACACTTTAGTTCACAAAAAAAACGTCCGAAACAATATCTATAATTTCATTTCAAACGCAGATGTTATACTTTGACGATATGATGAAACAATTAACAAAACAGAGTAGTTTTAGACATCCAAGTTCCATCAATCAGTGTATTTAGACAAAAAAAGAAACATCATTGTAACCGTATGGAGTTGAGAAAAAGGCCTGAAGATTCCATATAAACTTAATTTACTGTTTTCTTCTGAATAGATATTCTTAACTTACAGTTAAATCAAGTTTAGAGTTACAAAATTAACAAAGGGAGATTCGATAGGTTCTGTTTTTCCTAGCCAATATTACAATGGATGATTACTTTACAAAGACCAGACAATCCCATTGAACGTCCAAACTGACCAGATTTAAGTTTTTTCTATTTTGTCTACCATTAAATAAGATATAAAAATCCTAACCAAAATATTTACTGATGTATAACAAACAGTTAGTTGCTAGAGATATTAAGAGGATATTTCTCTTCACAATTATCCCTTTATAAAACAAGACCAGTGATAGTTCAGATAATCTTCAAAATGTTATATTACTCACAATGAATGAATACTGATGAGTAACTCCTTCAGATTTTAGTTCCAATTATTTAAACACGTAATTTCGACCACTTATCTCATATTGGAATAATCGAGTAAACAATCTTGAGATTAAACATAAGACGCTAGGTAATAATTTCAAATCAGTTGATGAGATAGTAAGTCTTCAGCGACTAGGGTAGTCGCGACGTGCCCAAAATCACCGCCAACTTAGACCCACGATGCTGTCTGGTGTAGAAGTAGGTTGGAAGCTAGAGGGGCAGATTAGGATGTTTATTTATTTATTTAAACACATAAATATTGGTACAAGGGGGCACCAAATATATATGCGCCTCACAAAACAATGAGAATTTAAAGAGAAGGGGAAAAAAAGGTAAGGAGCGTAGGGAATTATAAAAAAAGAACGATAACGGCCAGATTAGTGTAAGGTAGTGTAATAGTAGTAATAATGGGGGAAACAAAAAGGTACAATCAGAAGAAATCTTCCAGTTAAGGAAGAAGCAACCACTTTTTACGAAGAAAGGTTACAGCAGGATCGCCACTGGCTTCTATTCTGAGACATATCTGATAACGTTTCTAGCCACTGTGTTACACCATCTCTCGGACCCCAGCCATGGAGTCATGAAGGACCAACACAAGCTAGCCCTTTGCAGCTTTCTTTCATACCCCAACATCATGTCGTTCACTGAACACCTCTCCGCTTTTTTCAACCAGTCCCAGCATCAGCAAATAATGCACGATGTAGAATTCTCTGGGGCGACATTCGTAGAACATGTCCAAGCCACCGAAATCGGTGTTTCAAGATGGTGACACCAATTGGATTATCATCTCTGCACCCGAACACATGATGCCGAACCTCTGCATTACTAACATGGTGTTGCCACTGGATGTCAGCAATCCTCCGGAGACAACGATGATCGAACACAGAGAGTCGTCTAACATCCTCAACTCGGAGAGGCCAGGTTTCACAAGCATAGAGCAAAACTGCTCTCACCGTCGCGTTGTAGATCCGATCTTTTACAGCCAGACTAACATCACGAAGGCGCCAAAGATGGCCCAGATTGGCATAAGCCGCTCTGCCTTTCACTATACGTGCATTGATCTCATCACTCATGCCACCACCAGCACTTATGCAGCTACCTAGATACACGAACTTCTCGACTACTTCTATCTGCTCACCATCCAGAGTGAGTACAGGATTAGAATCCTGCCAGTCTTGTAGAAGTACTTTGCACTTCGAAGGTGCAAAGCACATACCATACCTACGGACACTGATTGTCAACTAATTAAGTGTGGATTGCATGGCTTGGGCATTCTCGCACAGTAAGACAATATCATCCGCATACTCAAGGTCGAGAAGTATTTCTCCAGGCAACAGATCCACACCACCATTACTTACATCCATCAGAGCTGTTTCCAGAATGTCATCGATGGCAAAGTTGAAGAGGAATGGTGAGATTGGGCAACCCTGCCTAACCCCACTGCTTGAATGGAACAATGGAGAAAGATAGTTGTATGCCCTCACTCTGCCTGAGGTGTTGGTGTATAGGGTTTTCAAGATGTTAACAAACTTCTCAGGCACACCCTTCTTCAATAGACAATCCCAGAGAACAGTCCTATCCAACGAATCGAAGGCAGCCCTAACGTCAATAAACACTACAATTGTTGGCCTTTGATAAGTATGGCGGTGTTCTAACATTTGGCGGAGGGTGAAGATATGATCAATACATCCTCGACCAGAACGAAACCCAGCCTGCTCCTCGCGAGTCAATCCTTCTCGGGTTCTGAACAACCTAAGAAGTATAACGAAAGCCAATAGCTTAGATGCAATCGGAAGTAGACTTGTCCTCCGATGGTTGTCACAGAAACGACGTGGACCCTTTTTAAAGATAGAGACAACTATCGACTCATTCCATGACATCGGTACACTCTCTAGCTCCCAGACCTTTGTAAACAACGTCGTCAGTCCCTTAGTCAAAAAGTCACCACCATCTTTAAAAAGAGCAGGAGGTAAGTCATCTGGGCCCGATGATTTGTAGCGTTTCAAGAGTTGGAGTTCATTGCGTACTTCCGCCTTATTTGGTGGATCAGTCGTCACCGACCATGGAGGGCAAGATAGTCTGACCGATGTTGCCGGAGCAGCAGGCCAGTTGAACTGCCCTCCGAAAAATTCTGCCTATCATCCAAGACGTCGATGGATGTTAGTGATTGGCGTTCCGTCATCCTCGCAGATTGTTTCGCTCACACGAGACTTCTTGCTGCCAGTGGCTCGGATGAGTTGGAAGAGCTTCCGGTAATTACCAGATGCAGCTGCTGCTTCCAGCTCATTAGCACGCTCCAACCACCAGGCTTCTCTGTCCTTACGCAAGCTTTGTCCGATTTCAGTGTTTGTGGTCAAACTCACGGTCACCCGGAGTAGACCGACGGGCTTCAATCAGTTGTAAGGAACCAGAAGAAACCCAGTGCTTGTAAGCGGGACGTTTCGCGAACCCACAAAAGACTGTACCCGCCATTCTCATGGCGTCATGCAATTGCAACCAATGCTCATCTATACTTTTCGGTGGGATGATAGCTAGCCTACAAGGTAGCTCGGTTCGGTACTTACTTGCAACAGAAGTTGCAGCCAGCTTGCTAACATCAATCCTTTGGTGGCGGTCACTTCGTTGTCCACTGAAAAGTAAGGTAAGATTGGCGCAGACCAGGGCATGGTCAGATTCCACATAGGTACTCCAAAAGGAGCGGCAGTGTTGTACACAACCGCGCCAGCGGTAGCTGATCGCTATGTGATCAATCTGAGTCCAGGCTTGAGATGCAGAAGGAGGACGCCAGGTGGCACATCGGCGATGACTGCGCCGAAAGTTAGTGCTAGCCAGAAAGAGGTTGTGGTCTGTGCATAGTTGCAGTAGACGTTCCCTGTTATCTGTCCTGCGACCAACAAGTCCCCATCGGTCACCTAAACGACTCTCCTCTCTGCCTAGACGCCTGACCTGAGCATTCAAGTCTCCAGCTAGTACTACAATATCTGTCGAACGCACTTTCTGGAGAAGAACAGATAACTGGTGGTAGAATTCATCCTTGATTGCATCCGGGCTGCAACCTGTCGGGGCATGGGCGGAGATGACAAAAAGACATCGTCTCTCACGCCGATTTCTTCTCACTTTGATGGAACTTTCTAATCTAACAGCACATAACCGACTGTTAATGAGGATCCAATGGATTAGTGTTGCCTCAGCTCTAGCGCTTAGTGCGACACCAACACCAGCAAGACCAGACGAAGATGCCATACGGTCCAAGGACAAACGCACGTAAAACAAGCTGTTTGAAGTGACAGATGGAGAGCGAATTTGTAGTACTTCACCAGAGTCTTGATTACGGGTCTCTGATAGACAACAAACGTCAATATTAAGACTTTCCAAAGACATAGCCAGCCCTATCTGTCGTCCGATCTGCATAAGTGTGCGAACGTTGAAGGCAGCCAGTTTGAATGGTGCACGCGGTTGCAGAAAAGCTGCTTCAGTACTCGTAATCGCTGGTAACATACAATTTTCAACCAGGCAGTGACCCGAGAACGTTTAGATAGAGCCGAATTTGCTGTATAAGTCGAAAAGTAAGGATAGACAGAGTAGGAATAAAAGAGAGTGAATAAATGACGTAGTAAATAATACTAATACTACTACTACTACTACTACTACTACTACTACTACTACTACTACTAATAATAATAATAATAATAATAATAATAATAATAATAATAATAATAATGGTAGTAATAATAATAATGCGAGTCATTTGATTGTTAATCGGAGCGAAAAGAATATTTTCTATAAGTAGACAGTTCATCATGTTTTTGTGTGTGGGCTGAGATACTGCCCGGATGCCCAGACCGAAGCAGGTGGTTTTCTTAGGGCTCCACGCCCCGAGTCTTTGACCTAAAGGTCTAACCCACAAGGCAGTGGAGCATCGTGAGGAGATGCAGTCCCATGGAGGCCGGTGACCAAGAAATTGGTTCATACGCCATTTGTTCCCGCAGGATACTAGAGCCCATGTGCACCATCGATTTGGGATCCGGTCAAAGCGCCGGATATTAGCTTTTCGTCCTCTCATTTTCGTAAACAACACCGCCACGAGAAGGCAGTGAGTAGGACTTCCCTGGCAGAGGCTGTATACGCGTGGCCGTGTGAGAGTATTTCGAGAGGGAGGGCGAACCCACCCCACTCTCAGCCATAGCAGGGCGTTTGGGGGCGAACGATAATACTAACATAATATATTTCAGTAGTTCAGTTAATGAATTACTTTTGCTTTTAAATAATTCGAGTGACCTGTGTTCACAAGGTGTTCGATTATAGAACTTCTTATTGAGCCGTTGCCTCCTCGTTTTAGCCACGCCGGACAATGTTCTTGAATTCTTCGCAGCAACATTGCGAATATTATTTTCCAGCCGATCATTGTTCACCAATAATGTGAAAGATAAATTATCGCATCTGACCAACTCAATGTGCATTTACCAATTTACCTGCTCTTGTGAGGCTAGGTATATAGGTCGTTCGATGCGTACTTTATCCAAAAGAATTCAAGAACATTGTCCGGCGTGGCTAAAACGAGGAGGCAACGGCTCAATAAGAAGTTCTATAATTGAACACCTTGTGAACACAGGTCACTCAACCAAGACAGACTCTGTGTTCAAAGTCATTTACAAGGTGAGTAGATGTCTTCCGAAGACAATTAGACTGCATCTTCTTTGCATTGCCGAAGCAATAGTCATACATCTGGAAAAATAAGAATTGTATGTGCAAAAGAGACTGGTACAACCTCTTCTTCTATCATGGTCTTAATGTATTAAAAATTTTCTCTCTTTTTCATACTCTTGTTCCTTTACAGCCATCTGCTTCACCTTCCATCTTCCCCTTAAATAGAATGTGGCTAGTACAAAAATCAAGGAAGCGGGTTTCGTTCTATCTCATTTATATAAACTTGTGTCATAATGGCCATATCAAGGCAATCCTCATACAATGTACATATGCCAATCAAGAGCGATCAAATTTCAGTCAAAAGTATCAACAACGAGATAATCTCAACCATTCCAAATTGGATGAAACTACAAATTTATTACGCTTTTTCTACAATCATCTACCACAAAAATGTCAATAAAAAAGTATTAAATTACTAGTCGATCACGTCGACAGCTAAAAATAAATGATAAAGCTTTGACAGAATATATAACAAGTTGTGATAAATTGGTTTGGAAGTGAATCATACTTGTGTATAAATCTTTTATGGGTTTAATTGATTTAGATATGAAGTCAAAAATTCTTTAGACAGATTTATCTGTAATTGATGTAACTTTATGTCAAGCTTTTGTGTCTCTTAACTGTTTAGTTTTCCATATGGAACACGCACTAACTACCTGATTTAATATAGGAAGTCAATATTCTATTATCACTTTCCACTAGGCACCTTCCAGATAGGCAATGATATTACTACAGTACGATTGACCCTATGAAATTTTTTCAACGGTATGAAATAATCGTCCACATATACGCGATTTATTTATAGTGGAATGAAAATATTATATATATATACATATCAGCCCTCAACCAAACGATATTTAATGAGTTTTTTCATGGTAGAACGAAGAAACTGCTTGTTAGTGCAGACGTCCGTTGTAGACAAACAATTACAATAAAAATGACTATCACTTTGTACCTGGTGGAACACTAATTTTTCGGATGCATGCAAGGAAAACCAACGAAATAATGGAAAGGAAGAAAAATTCTCAACATTGAGGTTAAGCACAAAACTATGGAACAGAACAAACTTTTACCTACGATAATTGGGACAGCTACACTGTATAACTATATATAAACATTAACGAATACAATGAATGGATATACATTTTACACGATATAATCTCATGAATTATAGTTCTGAATAATCTTTAAGTTAATTCAGTAAAGTAAAAATAACTAACCCATTATATACACCTAAATGGCTCATTAGAGCTGCCAGTGTAGAATCATGTGCAAAATAAGCAACGAAACGCCGATGTAGTTGTTCTGATGAATTAATGTCATGATCAATCTTCTTTAGCTCTTGGTTAATACGCTCACGAAATAAATCCATAATATGACCAGCCAGCGGACCACCTCGTAATCTTGTCAACTGTGGTTTAGAAAATCGAATGAAATGTTTATAGTCCAATAAGTTAGAGCATTGTTTATAAACATCACTAGTGACCCAACGAGGAAGTGAAGGCAATGAATGATCCACCCATATCGTAACAGGATCACATATACGCCAGGCTGTGTAAAAATTATCTGAAGAACTTCTGTCAATAGGGAAAGTGTACCCTAAGTTAGTTTAATTGAGAAAGTCAAATAAAAGTATTAGCACAACAACTGTGAAACAATATTAAAAAGAAAAACACTTTTATCCGGTATATCTTATTTTTGTATGAGATTACTTGAATGTATAATGTAAGTATTTGACGCTTAACCGACCAGTCAATTGATAAAGCTTACTTTATTTAACATGCTGCAGAAGTCTTAGGAGTGGGATAGAAAAACTGTGACCTATATTCTAGTACATAAACCTCCAAAGACGATTGATGAGTTACACACAAGCTACCATGTTATTTCAGTTCAAATCAAACTTTGAAAAACTTGTAATGTACGTTCAGTAGTACATCACTGTTTACCTTCCAGTAAAAATTCATGTAAGTGATTTCCACAGAGTGAAACAAGATGGAAATCCAAAGAAAGCCAGAGCGCATTAGGAAGTTATTAAGTGTTGATTTAAAATTCTTCAATAGGATCCATACTTGAACCGAACGTGGAACCTTTATGTCCCACAACAGGTCACTGAGTTACTTACTACAGCGCTTTTTAACTTTACGGTCGGATCATGAATTTACTGCTTATGATCTTAAACGGTCCAAACAACCTCAGTAAATACGGTTCCCCTTAGAGCATCACGGAAGAATATCAGCAAGTTAAGTTGGCAACTATGATCAAAATGCCAATTGATCAATGAACACTGCCTTTAGATGAATGAACAGACAAACTTTTGTAAAATCAAGTAAGATCAGAAATTAGATTATCTTCAAATAGAACACACGTAAAGAAAAATAACTAAACCAAATTGTATTTTACAAGAGAAGATGCATAAAAAATAATAGGACCACAAGATGCTCCACAAATAAGAAACATTTGGTCAAAAGCAAAAATAGGCGATATAAAAAAAGACAGACATGTTTGAACTACTGACCTTAACTGAAGTAGCTATGGCATGTGTTACGAATTAAGAACCACAAGCTAATAATATAAAGGATGTTGATTGGTTCCAGAGATTGGGAACGATTAGAAAATGATCAGAAAATGGTGTGTACACTATTTAGTCAAGACGTTTGGCTTGTCTCGGAAAGTAGTGATATGCTGAGATTTATCAGATTTTGTAAGCTGTTGGCAAGATACCTCTCCGACAGACGAAAATCGACCACAATTGCACAAATCTACTTCGTTATTTTCTCTGAATCTCTATAACAATGTTCAGGTGTGTTTATCTACTTCCTAGCTAAAAATGTCACTACACTTTAGTATTCTCCTGGCTTTAATGAATTTGTTTTGTGGCAGGCTCAATCAGTGGATATTTCAACTCACTAGTGACCCGTCCAGATAATAGCACATTACTTATGAAGACGGATATAGGTGGTCAATTAGCGCAAGATAAAATGAATTGCCTCCTTAAGACAGATTTAAATTTTATGGCGTTTACATTTACCTATAAGCTGTGAAGTACAGAGTAAGTAGGGCCATTTGACAAGTAGACACTGTAAGGAGTCATAGCTTTGACTTTTAATTAACTTACCAGTCGTATGTTCCAGAAGGTCGAAGAAGTTTCTCAGCATGTTTGCTTTCTGAGATACCACTGATGAGTTCATCAGATGGTGAAAAATTCTTTTGAATTTAGGGCATTTGCTAGACATTTTCAACAGGTGATCTTCGTGTGTTAGTCTAGAAAACACAGGAGGAACGTTATTTGTGTTCTTTTCCAAGTGATAAAATCCTCGGATAAAGTTGTTTGCAGACATCAGTGTCCTTTCAGTCCCAGAACTACGAAACAACGTTTCATCCTGCTACTTAGGCTTTAACTGAAACACGACGGTACCTTATGATAGACTTCAGGAACGAAACCAGAATACATTTTTCGGATAATTCGACCAAGTTCTTGATGTTGTTCTGCACCATAAGCTGTTAGCTGACCATATCCCATTTTCCATAGCTTTCGATAAGGATCTGTTGGAAAAGTGTGAACAGGAGACCTATCACCATGCCGACATAGGATAAAAACCATCAGCAAATCTTTCGTTGTAGGTATATTTTTACGCACATCCTCTACCGAACAAGGATTTATCAATGCAGTTAGTATGGCTAAAGAAACCAATGCGGAGTTTACATTTACAGCGTTCAGTACGTGCAAACCAACGGAAGAGAAGCCCAAACTCATGTTATTTTGTAGTTCACTGAACAGCTATAAAATTGTTTAAGCAAAAAGATTATTCAAGAAAGCTAAAGTACTAACCAGTACTGATTCAATTGACGGAACTTATACAGCATTTAGTTTTCTAGAGGTAAATTTCCAAATGATTTAAACTTACTGTGACCTCATCTGAGAACCCATTTGTATTTTGAAGCGCCGTTTCCAGAGCTTAGTGATTGAAGCAAAGAAAGCTAGAGTTCTAAGAGGTATCGTTATAAATTTATAATATACCAGTAATCAACTAAGTAGTCTTAAGAAAACGAACAAGCTTCTATTATGCAGGAACTAGCTAAATATAAGTCCGGCTAATAAAAAACAACCTAGAGTGAATAAAAAACCGGCTATTGGGTTAAGAATGTCGGTTTTATTTACATGAAGTCATCATTTCAGTAAAAATAACAAGTTAGAACTCGATATAGATAAGCCTGTATTAGGAACGTAATAAAACAGACATAAACAAACTGTAAATTAGGATTACAGTATTGTCTGAGCGACCCTGAGAAGCAAAATAACTCGCAAATCCCGCACAATATTTGTTGCGACACTGCCACTATTTGAACCAAATAAAGTAATACACCATATTCATTTTTATTACTGCTTTTTATGCTGACAAACTCAGAGGTACATTATTTAGCCACAGTGATCTAATAACAGAAATACACTATTAAGAAAACATTGATTCAAGTTTCAGTTTGGAATGGACAGAGAACTAGATGGCCTGTATTAGTCTGGACAATGGTCGTCCCTTAGTTGATCCAACCGTATTTTGAAAGAGTTGACAGACAGGACTTCAATCATGTATTGAGATAATTAATTCGATACGTTTGTTATTCAATGAGAAAGTCGATATTCAGCTGAACGGTAGTTTGTTCTTGTCATGTGAACCTTTTTAGAGCTTCCTCGTTTCGTAAGACAAGAAAGGTGACAGTATATCATATGCGAATTTATCACTTAGTCCTTTCTGGTTCTTCTATATGACAATGGGAAAAGGTTTAGTTTAGCCAATAAAGCATCATACGGGAGCTTTACTACTCTAAGAATCAGTTTAGTTTCGGTTCTTTGAACCCATTTCAACAGCCCACAGTGTTTCTTACACAGGGGTTATCCACTCATCACATGACGTCGGCATATGTCAAAACCGATGCCGATAGGATACTTTGAAAGTCGTTAACATACAAGAGGAACAACACTGGCCCCAAACCGTACCCTGAAGCACTCTGCTAAGCTCAGTTTCCCAACCAAATAACTTTGCGTCCACCCGGACTCTTTCTTGATGTCCAACTGCAAAATACTTTGTCCATATTGATGAATTGCCTTTAATCCCGAGATTACTTAACTTGTATAACCTCCAGTCGTGAGTATTTTTTTTCAAAATTCTTGGCGAAGTCATTGTGGGCTATATCCTTAGTTAACTCTTGATCTTCAAGTAACCAACAAATTTCACGGGTTACCAATAGGTTAGTGAGACGTGAATTGCTTGTTCCGAAGCCATGCTACTTTTCAGAAATAATCCGGTTTTCATCAATATATTCAAACAAATTCCGGAAAATCTTTCCTGAAGTTTTAACAACCACGCTGGTTAAGTTTACCGTCCGATAGTTCTCTGGATTGTACCTCACACTTGTTTTCAATACAGGATTTATTATTGCCTCCTTCCTATCTTTTACCTTGTGTTATACATAGAATAAAACATATGCTTAAGGGATATATTTCATCGGGTTCCATGGTTTTTTCCATTTAGCAGACCAAAGACATCGGGTTCTTTAATAGTCACAGTGTTTAGTGTATGTATGAAGGGTTAATTAACTTAAGGGAAGGACATATATACTGTATGTAAATTGCTAAAGTAATTTATGAATACCTGAACTTAGCTATAATCGTCCTCCACTGATGATGCAGTGCTACTCTTTTCTTATACTTCTAAAATACTTTTTTCTTAGTCCTTTTGTTTCATACATGAGCATTCAGTGGATTCCTGCGCACGTTTCTCGTCGCACAACCCTTTAGACTTGCAGAGGATGGGGGGAAATATTTCGAGCTGAGCGGCATTGATAATAATAATATATTTCTGCGTGGGCAGATATGCAGAATTATGGTCTACTATGATATTAGTACTGCTCTAATAATAGACCTAGTCATAAAATTGTAGATTTGTCATGATATAACTGCCTAATCTCTAAGATTTTACGTGGAAGTCACATCATCTTCTACACCAACTCACCGCATCGTAACAATTACCAGTACATGATGGAGAACAAGATTAGGCTAGGAATAGAACAGTATAATTAATATGAATAAAAGATATAAGGTAACATTCAGGAAAGACCACACCTGCGTGGTCGAGCCATGCCATCAGATTTACTTGAATTAATTCCCATGATTGTTCCCGCCTCCTCCATCGTTAAGTATCTTTCCGCGTTAAATATTGAATATCTATTTTCCGAGTAGTCTGTGTTTAGGCTTTGAGGATTGTGTGGTTGTGGTCCAATACCACTACAAATACACGCTATTTTTACAGGCATGATCTACAAATTACATTTGTTGGCTAACAGCATGCTTCCGATGTAGGGTTGTTAAATAAGTGAAATCGATAAAAGTGAATGGCAGTTCATTCGTGGAGATGTTGTAGTGACCTACTTTTGTCAACAGAACGCGATTGGTTCGATGAAAACAATTATTATTATAACCAATTGTACCAGTGACTGTTTTACTGTGCTCATAACAGCCATTTTAGTCTACCATTGTATTCCATTGCTTTTACGCGGTTTTCGAGTACGCACGTATCTTATCTTGCCGATCGCACCTGTACTCCTTTGGCACGATCTCGGTATTCTTTCGATACCACGAGATCGCCAACAAATATATACGACTACTACAATCATCTGCCTTCTGATATTTTGGCCTATCGGAATTTTATTGGTCTATTGGCAAGTAGTCTGGTAGCGGTGTTCTTAGTCAAGCTCAACTCGACACCACGCTACATTTGGTGAGCCAAATATTGGAACACGCCTCAACCTCGGTCAAATCTTTCAAAGAAGGCAATTCGGTGAGTCTATTGTTTTATCTATCCACGTCTGTCATATATTTTCATATTAATTTTTAATATATATATTTGACATGACGGATAACGATAAGAATAGTATTAATATAATAGACTCCGATGTACGCGTACCGAATCCTCGGCACTTTTTATTCGCGTGACGATAAATTCCACGCCTTATTCGAGAAGTTCCCCAGAATAACTAAACCACTCGAGGAGATTTCATCGGTGACCAATCGTGTGGTACACCACATAGTCACCCGCGGACCACCAGTCACGGCAAGACCACGCCGACTGGCACCGGACAAATTAGCCTTCGCTAAACGTGAGTTTGACAATTTACTATCTACTGGTATTATTCGTCCTTCTCACAGTCCTTGGGCCTCTCCTTTACACATGGTGGGCAAAAAGGATGGGGTTAGTTGGAGACCATGCGGCGACTACCGAGCATTAAACGTAGTTACGCGCTTTGATAGTTACCCCATCCCCCACATACACGACATCACGGCATCGCTCAAGGGCATGACTATCTTTTCTAAAATCGATCTGGTACGAGCATATCACCAGATCCCAGTCGCTCTTGAAGATATCGAAAAAACTGCTATCACGTCTCCGTTCGGTCTGTTTGAGTTCCTACGAATGCCAGTTGGATTACGGAATGCTGCTCAAACTTTTCAAAGGTTTATCGATAGCATAGTACGAGACTTGGATTTTGTTCACGTCTATATTGATGACCTGCTGATCGCATCATCAAACGTAGATGAACATTATCAACACCTTACGCTATTATTCCAACGTCTTTCGGATAATGGAATAGTAGTCAACCCAGAGAAATGTGAATTGGGTAAATCAGAAATAATATTTCTGGGTCACATCATCAAACAAGAGGGTATTCTGCCTTGCGAGGACAAAATTCGAGCAATCAAGGAGTACAACGTGCCGTCCTCAATCAAGGAACTGAAGGCTTTTCTCGGTTTGGTTAACTTCTACCGACGTTTCATCCCCCACGCGGCAGAACGGTTACGACCATTAACCGATTTACTACGCGGTAATCCACGCAAATTAGAACTGAACGATACCGCACGTACTGCATTCTCAGAGATCAAAACGGCTCTCGCTGAAGTTACACTCCTCGCTCATCCTGACCCATCAGCCACGCTTAGTGTAGCGGTTGATGCATCAGATTTCGCTATAGGAGCCGTTATGCAACAGAATATCTCCGGTAGTTGGCATCCCCTTGAATTTTTCTCACGACGCCTTACTCCCACGGAGACGAGATATAGCGCTTTTGGTCGCGAGCTGCTTGCAGCCTACTGCGCCATCAAACATTTCCGGCACGCAGTAGAAGGACGTCAATTCATCTTATTCACCGACCATAAGCCCTTAACGTATGCCCTGCATACCAAGTCTGACCGCTACTCACCACGAGAGTGCAGACATTTGGACTATATCTCACAGTTCACGACAGACCTTCGTCACATTAAAGGCGAGTCGAACTATGTTGCCGATGCTCTTTCACGTATCCAGACGAATGCAGTTACTTTACCGGTGCTCGATCTTCCTGCTATGGCCGCCGCGCAAGCAAACGATCCTGTCTGTACAGAAGCACCACAATCTTCGTCCCTTCAGTGCCAGGAAGTACCCCTAGCTACTAGCTCAGGTACTATCATATGTGATATTTCTACCGGTCTTCCTCGACCCATCGTACCCTCTGCCTATCGCCGTCTCGTCTTCGATGCCCTTCATGGATTGTCTCATCCAGGTATCGCAGCCACATTACGCCTCATCGCTGCACGATACGTCTGGCCGTCCATGAATAAAGATGTTCGTATGTGGGTAAAGCAGTGCTTACAGTGTCAACGATCAAAAGTGCACAGGCACGTAGCTGCCCCCATTGGCACGTTCGCTACGCCTGATGCTCGCTTTGATCACGTTCATATAGACATTGTAGGACCATTGCCACCATCGCATGGGTATGATCACATACTCACGTGCATTGACCGTTTTACAAGATGGCCCGAAGCTATTCCCATCACGTCTATCACGGCGGAGACAGTTGCTCACCGCTTCGTAGAACGATGGATAGCATTGTACGGTTGTCCCTCGACTGTCACGACTGACCGAGGACAACAATTTGAGTCCGCATTATTCTCCTCACTGACCCGGCTGCTTGGTACGGAACGCATACGCACCACCGCCTACCATCCAGCATCGAATGGTTTAGTCGAAAGGTTTCATCGCCAACTTAAAAGTGCTCTCCGAGCACACGAAAACGACAATTGGTACGAAACCTTACCGCTCGTTCTCTTAGGCATCAGAACGAGTTTGAAGGCAGATATCCAATGTTCCGCCGCTGAACTTGTATACGGCACGACATTGCGTCTGCCTGGGGAATTCTTCACACCACGGAGCAGTAATGATTTCGGTAAATCAGACTACGTCCATCGACTGTCTGCATTTATGCGAACGCTGTCTCCGGTGTCAACTCGAATACAACATCGACAGGTCGCTCTCCCTCGAGAGTTATCTACCTGTTCACATGTTTTCATACGAGTAGATTCGGTACTCAAACCTTCGCAACAGCCTTACGAAGGCACTTTTCACGTGATCTCTCGTCACGAAAAGACCTTCAAGGTTGATCGACACGTCCGCGTCGAGATCGTCAGCATTGATCGTCTCAAACCAGCACACGTCGATGACAGTGCCCTACCCAATAACTTGAGACTCAATGCTAGACCTACCAAACCTTCTAGCGGGATCTCTACGTCTACCTCGGATCCCACGCTAGATACATCAGAGACCTCGTTCTCACGTCCCGGTCAACAGCACGCGTCATCTGCACCATCTACGGATGAGACTTCCGTCTCACGTCCAGATCAGCAGACCACGCCGCCCTTGACCTCGGATGGGATCGCAGGCTCACGAAGTACGAACGAGACTACCGTCTTACGTTCCGGTCGCCGAGTACGATTACCCGTACGCTTTCGCGACTAAACGCACAGTCAATAACAGATGCGGTGTAGGATTATTCCTATACTACACGCATGCTATACTTTTCTTTTTTTTGATTTTTTTTGTATCCTGAGCCCACGCCTACGACCATCGTCCATTTGATAACGTCGACTTCAGTCAACTTTGGGAAAAGCTGGTTTGGCCACCCATGCTCTAGTCAACGCACTCAGTCGATTATCTGGTCTCGAATTCGCCTGGCATACGCTTGGTCGTTATGGTCGCTTCCGGTTTCTTGGCTCAACGTGGTTTCGTCCTACGTCTGCAGCGTTTCCTGGTTCACATCCCTACGAACGCAATCATCAGATTCTGGATACAAACCACTCTGGTGTGGTATGCTAATTCGACCAACAAATACAGCACACTTCTCCTGGTACCGTTCTGCGCAAAAGACCTTCGTTGGCAACTCGAGGATCAATGATCACTTCCTGTTCTGCCAATTTCCTCCGTCCTACAACCGCACATCTGCCGATCAGTCCCACGAATCAAACCGCTAACTATCGAAAGTGTAAACCCTTTCTAGCGGGGGGCTCCTGTAGTGACCTACTTTTGTCAACAGAACGCGATTGGTTCGATGAAAACAATTATTATTATAACCAATTGTACCAGTGACTGTTTTACTGTGCTCATAACAGCCATTTTAGTCTGCCATTGTATTCCATTGCTTTTACGCGGTTTTCGAGTACGCACGTATCTTATCTTGCCGATCGCACCTGTACTCCTTTGGCACGATCTCGGTATTCTTTCGATACCACGAGATCGCCAACAAATATATACGACTACTACAATCATCTGCCTTCTGATATTTTGGCCTATCGGAATTTTATTGGTCTATTGGCAAGTAGTCTGGTAGCGGTGTTCTTAGTCAAGCTCAACTCGACACCACGCTACAATTTCTTGCAGTAAAAATGATTAGGTTAATGCTTTATTACAGCACCAAGTTAGTGTGAGCCTCTTCTTGTTTACTCTTTATTAGCTTTTTACTCTTCTGCACACTATGTTGACTAGCAATCAATATTATTTCTCCACTCGTTACCTTATCTACAACCCATATACTTCTATACTTTTAGGCCCGTTTTAATAAACAACTATCTCACGTTATACCCTTCTTAATACTTATACTCTAGTTGACAAACTATACTTTATACTATAGTCAATTAAAGCACTGCATCGATGCCTTACCCACAGTCCATAATTTGTAACTGCCTGATAAGCTTGTAAAATGTTACTCATAGAAATAGTGTTTTCCAACAGGTTGTGAAACAGAGGATTGTGTGAGGTATGACATATATCCAAAAATAAGCTTAAATGAGCCTAACATCATAAAAGGATGGAGGGTGGAGTTACTGACCAGCAAGCAATAATAATGAGGGCGATGACATCAATTCACCCGTGTTCGTGGGGCAGAACATTTTGTATGCATCAGGCTCCCTATGATTGATCATAAATCAATCAATCTGTGATATAGATTGTCTTCCTACGCTCACCACTCAGACTCATGCATCCAATTTTATACAGGATTGACTAGTCTACTAAGACAACCTATAACGTGCTAACCCGGACTTTTACACTATGATTGTGTGGCTGGCATCGGATGGACAAAAATGAAAAGAAAGAAAAAAATCATACAATGAAATATATAGTTATTGGTATTCTTAACACCTCACCCGCTACATACATACTCCTTTCTGATAAACCGCTTTCCTTGTACCAACCTTGACTTACCTTCCTTCATGTGAGCTTACTCCAACTTGTTAAACATCACAGTTCATTGTTCTTTATTACTACATTCTCTTAAATGGAGCCTCTGACGTCATTTCACTGTAACAAGAGATAATATAAATTTAATTTCATTCATTATACCTCTGTCTGTTCTACTACACAATGTTAAGCAACGTTTGGTGTTCATATCCAAGTGCCTCGCTGCTCTATTGTTTCTCTTTTTTATTTTCTTCTTCAGAATCTTGCTCTGAGGACACAGCTATGGAACTTCTGACGTCTGGAACAAACTTGACGTACGCGTCACGGTCACGGTTTATAGCAAGCGCTCTACGAGTCTACTTTATAACAACTATAAACTTAATGGGTTGGGAAGCATGCTATGCTCCAACAAATGTTGTAACTTGCAGACCATGCCTGTAAAAATGGTGTGTACCTACTCATGCAGAATATTTATTATTATTATTACCATTATTATTATTATTATTATTATTAAAAATACTTTTCAAAGCGGCATCGCGTCTACGCTGCACACCAGTTCCAATCTTGACATAATTGTCTTAGAATTCTGGTCGTGCTAATTTTTTATGCAATACAATATAGCTTACTAAGATCGTAATTACAAATTTTAGCATTAGTTGCAGCGAAATGAACATTAGTATTACAAACTGGCTGAATGTATCCAATCTCATCACATTCAAAGCATTTAAAATTACTAAATACACATGAATTGCATGGCTGAAACTTGCCACAGAACAAGCATTTACCAAACTTATGCTCATCTTCGTGACCTGATTCGTAAATTCTCAATGAATTATCTGAATAACATTGGTAGCGGAGGGGGGGGGTTGACAATTTATTGTTCAATGGGAATTTGCATAGTAGTTTAGTAAAGTGTAACAATCATACACTAAGTACATCATTTGTTTATCTTCTTTGAAGTGTTGCTTACAAACTTCATAGTTCCTTCATTTCTGTTATGGTGATATATACTACCTATATCTATCGACATAAGTAGCATACATCTCAAAAGAATTAAATGTAGTGCTGACAGAATGAACTTGGGTATGCATGTTTTTATTTGTTGTGTTTTGTTTTTGCTTTATTTGTCTTAGCTGTAGTATTATTCACCTTTTTTCATTAATATAATATACTATTCATCATGTATTGTTCATTAAATAGAATTACCAATTACTTATGTCTTATTTGTTTTTAGACAGATTCGTCCGTTCAGCTATATCAGAGTCTTGTTTAAAATGGAAAATTAGATAAACTTTGCATCTGATCGGTTAGAAGAGGTTTGGTGTAATAACTGTCACATCAAACATGACTAGGATTATTTGAAAGTCAGATGGTATTTTTCTGCCAATAGCATATTGACATAATTTCATAAAATAGCTAAAAATTCACGGCCATTCAAATTTACATTCTTAATTTAAATATCACTTTGCTTAATTTGAGATATAATATAGTAATAATAAACACAGATGGATAGTGATAAGCAGTGGAATCCAATCACTGCTCACCATATTGGTAATTAGAAGCAAACAGCAAAATGGCCAAAACCTATCTTATATCTGATCATCGGTGTGTGTCGGCAATCCTAAACGAACTTGTAGTCCTCTAAAAGTGCTTATATTCATCTAATAACATCCTTGGAGTACCCTATAAAGCGGGCAAGACCTCCTTGAAGTAAACTGTTTGCACAAGTAGTCAACTAATTTATGTTCATTAGTTAACCTAGCCAAAAATCTTTTGATACACGAATTCTTGGCATTTTGAAAAGATGAATATAATTATCATCATAACATTCGCACTCTGGAACGAAGGTTCCGGGATTGATTGACCATCCCGTGCAGGGTCGTGAATATGAACCTCTGCGATGTCCCACACTAGGATGAAACGTCCGCCCAGTGGTTACAGATTCTCGATGGTTAGTTTAACTGAAAAGTTTAAAACTAATAACCCAATAACCAGCTCAAATTCTAAATAAGCTGTTTATCCATTCCTTCTGTCTACATCGTCCAATCTATAGTTCAGTCAGTCTGCTCATTTGTTGGTTAGTTAATTGGGGATTAACCAGTCGTTTCTGACATCATTAACGAATAGGACACAGACAAAAATTAAAGAGACCTATTTACGCTTGAATTATTTTTACACTATAAAGACAGAAACTTTGGAAAGAAAATTAAATTATTGTTTAAATAAACTGGTTTATTTGTTTTCTGAACAAGATTTAAAGTGAAAATCTAGAAAAACAGAATTAATCTCATAATCCATACGATGCTACTCATATTTACCATAATTCAAAAGTTGAGTAAATGCACTAATCAATAAAGTCATTTGGAAAAAAACATTGTTCATTAAAAACTATTTTCTACTTTTGTTTGTATTTGTTGAGTGGTTTGTAAAAAATGTCTGTTAATCAGATATTAAATTTTGTATACATTTTAGTTTATGGATTTCTTCTTGTATTCTGTTATATAATTACTGTAATTTAATCGTGTTTACTACTTACATTTAATTAGTAGTTTGTGTGCTATTTATAAGATAAATGTTCATTATTATGCTGTAAATTGTTTTTAAATAAATTATTTCATTTAAACAAAAAAGTTAAATGATCTGCTATTGGTTGTTGAATTAAATTGCTCTTATACATTCAAGCTTTTCTGGAATCCATAATTTAGCGACCAAAATATTAGTAGAATTTGATGAACTGTTTCGACTCCATGGTGGATTATCACGATGCCAACTTAAACTATGTCCAAGAAGAATTTGTTCGGACTGGTAATAGGGTTCATTAATTGTTTTTGCTTTATCATTAATATGAGAATGATCTTCAAAAATTCTTGTATCATCCCTTCGTCCCATCATCATTTCAAATACTTTATGGGGAGAAAATGTTCAAATAAAAAGTTAAATTATGACTTGATTATCATTTAAGAATGAAAGTGTATGAATCTACTTATATTATCCAAAATCTCACAAGCTTATTTTGGTAGGTGTTTATTGTCGGAAACGACTCATTATTTAAGTTAAAAATGATAAACAGAGTGTTCAAACTAGTAGTTATTAGTTATTCCATCAAAATGGGCAAGTGAAATCAATATACTAATAGAACAATTACTAATATCATATGTACTTAGGTACTAGTTTCTTTAAAGATTTGTACTCTTTGGAAATAACGTTTGTCAGAAGTTGACACCAGACAAAGGGTTACTGAAAACTAAACTGTGTCAGGCATCTGTTTTTCCCTGTATACAACTCCTTGGTGATCTTAAACAATTCGTTAGTGGAAAATTAGCTCTACAGCGAAAGTGGGTAAACAATTTACTTTATCCTGAAATGACCGGAGCTGTAGTTGTAGAGTAGGGATTCTGCATTCCATCTTAAGTATAGCTCCAGATGTGCACCTTTGTGCAACTATGATCTGAGATAAAATATTTATGTCAATGCTCACTGATTTTTAATGACTCCAAAGTTGATATACTGAAACTATTTGGTGACCAATATATCAAAAAATACTGGTTATAGACTAGAACAGCTTTCATATCACCTTAATCACTTGTATTTTGCTTATTGTAGTTCACATACTTGAAGCCACTAAAAGAATAACAACTGAATTCAGAGTAATTCATAAATAAATCTTATCATTTTTCGAATACCCTGTTTTAACAATAATGAATGTTTACAGGTAAACATAATGAGGGCTATCATTGTTAAGATGGGTATGGTTGATGGTTTTCAACACTTATGTCAATCAGACACTAGATTACCACAAACAATGGCATATATGGGAATATTTTATGGTTACTGGTTTGCATAAATGTGGAAACCATATTCTATGAACTTTGAACATGTAATTTCTGTAGAGTTGTCAGTCATCAAGTTCTAATTAAGAAGTAAATGGAGCAATTAGAGCTGCTTGCAGTTGATCAAAGTTAAATATTTCATTTGCTATTCACCTAAATTAACCTGTGATGGATACGAAAACCGAAAATAACCCTTCTCTATTTACTTCTACGGATTATCATAGCCATCTTGAAAATAACGAATACATGGATTTCGTAGGTTGAACTCGTTTATTTCCTAATAATTCCCGCCACATAACTTTAAATTTTCCTAACCAATACCAAACTCCTTACTCAATATTAACATAGTAGTTTTCTCAGTTATTCTCTGCTACGATTCAGTACGCCCGTACATTTCAGACAAGTAATTATACTATTACACTTAGTATTATACATTCATCCTCAAACGTAACGAATTCATAGACTCTTTGAAAGCAAGGAGAATGAAACAACTGCTTCATAATAGAACAACTGTATCCTCACTAGTCATAACCGCTCATATGATCAAACTTATGGTCTTTATATTTTATACCTATTGTCATATTATCTAATCAGCGTTGATAACAAATATTTCGTATGTTCCGAATTCCGTCTCAACAATGCTTCCCTAATTGATATCTACAAAATATTTTAATAAATTTTGTATGTTCGTTTCATTATACTTTCATCTTATTATACCTCATTTCATTGTCAACGTTTATTTTCATCGTAACATTAAAAAAAGTAATCTTATTCTATCGAACTAATTAAACTTTTTGATTATACAAGAAAAGTTTAACATAAATGTTGGATGCTGACTCAGTGGTATAGAGGTTAGGCGTTCATACGCAAGACCGATAGGTCCTGTGTTCGAATCTCTTGGGGGCCGGGATCGTAGATGCGCACTGCTGAGGAGTCCCATACTAGGATGAAATAACCGTACAGTACTTCCGAGCTTTCCACGGTGATTCATGAATTCAACTATTAAAATTACTTTAATATCCATAAAACCCCCCACTCTGAATATAAATGATTCATATTTAATAATTAACAATAAACAATTATCAATGAATTGTTTTACATCATACAAAAAAAACCTAACATGTTAGCTATTTATTTATCATCTTTTATGAGATCAGAGAAGAAAAGAATGAAAAATAACAAATGGTCATCCATTGTTTATACATCCTTAAATTTAATGAACTCATCATTGATTATGACAGATAACCTGCTGTTTATACACTGATAATCTTAATAGTTTCTAAACAACTTAGACACTAAATTAAACTGAAACTGGACAATGTACATATATGTACACTATAGTTCACTTGATGAATAAAAGCATTAAATTGACATGACATTAATAATAAAAAAAATCAAACTATTACTGTGAAATGCAATAGAGTAACTTTTTTGTATAATCAAAGCATAATTAGTCCAACAGTATTATATGACCTTTCATTGAATATGTCTTGAAACTAAGTATAAAGTTAATAAACAATACTATTAAGACAATAGAAGGTAAGTCGTAATGAAATAATTACTGAAATCATTCATAGTCTGAACATTGGAAATAGTTAATGTTTTCTTGATTCATTAGTTTAAAACAAACAAACAATTACAATTACTTGATCAAAGTGTGAATTGATTGTTAAAAAAACAAACAAAAAAGAGCTTCATGTGATTGGAATTATATGAGTCTGCTTTAAAAATTTGGTAAAATTCAGTCATTTTGAAAGTATATTATGTTTGTAAGCCAAAATCGATAGTGGCTAAGAGTGGAATCCAAGACGTGCGTTTCATCCCATTTAGGACTCTTCAGCTAGATGTACCTGCATATCAGAGTTGATATTCACTTTGGAACACTTAACTATTGAGTCCTGATGGCCACTTGCTTATGCAATCGGGTGAAGTTTAAATTCACTTGGTATTGTTTACTTGAATCTTTAAACGCGATGATGTTTGAAACGAATAGTACTGGGTTTGAGTCCCAGAGTGAACATCAACTCTGAGATGCAGGTAAATTCAGCTGACAAGTCCCAAATGGGACGAAAAGCGTTTCCTGGATTACACTGCTAGCTACCATCCATCCTGGATTATAATGCTTGTGAATTAAAACAATATCAAGACAATCCACACAGTATGAATTTAAACTTCACCCGATTGCATAAGCAAGTGGCTATCAGGACTCAATAGTTAAGTGTTCCAAAGTGAATATCAACTCTGATATGCAGGTACATCCGGCTGACAAGTCCCAAATAGAACAAGTCATCCGTCCTGATTTTCATTACTAGACACTATCTATCTTTACTTATTCATTGTATAATTTCAAAGCATAACATCTTTACTCCTAGATTATTATCTATATTCGTCTCTATCAAAATATAAGTACATCACAAATAAAACTTCTTATAACAACAAACCGATTTCACCTGTTTTTACAACTTTTTTCACATAAACAATATATATATATATATATATATATATATCGTTTCGTGATTTCTTTACCGAAAACATGAACTAAACTAATAGCTGATCATTAAAACCGATCTGATTACTAAATTACTTCTATAATTATTTAAATATAACATCTAACATTAGTTTATAAATAATTTAAACATGCAAATACCTTTATGTTTGCATAAAAATAAAAAGGAAACAAACAAATAATCCGGGTTCTAATCAATTATAATTTATATTTCTTTATATCTTTTAAATAACTGGACATATATTAAAAGAAATGAAGACATAGTAACTATAAAATAAATGATTGGCACATGGATAAAATATGATATGAGACAAATAGGCGGAGGGGGGGTTTCGATAATGTATGATAAACTTAATAAATAATTATTTTTTTGGGAACTAAAGAAAATCTAACAAGAAATCATAGATAGATAGTAGTTATTTACATTGGTTCCAATTACCCACTTCCTAATAAATAGACCATAAGTAAGTAACATGCAAATGAAAATATTTATAAATGAATACATTTAATATGCATATACATACATAATTAATAATTTCCTTTTTAAAAAAGAAACACATAATAATCATACAATGAGAGGTAATGTTTTTTTTTTATTTTTTGGACCTAGAAACACTCTCTAGGTACCCGCACAATCAAATAATTTTGATGAATAAGGATTAAATTACTCTGATATGATAATTATTAAAAAAAATCTGTAATATATAATAATTATGTTTATTAGCATAGTTAAAGTGCATTTTTTATAATGAGGTAGCAAAACAAAAAGAATACTGATAATAGGTGACATGAAACATTAATAAGATTGTATGCAATTAGTACATTTGTACGAATATTCAGGTATTTGATTAAACATGTGGCTAAGTAATGTTAGGTTTAACAAACTTTAATTCATTCAGTGAGTTTTGTAAGCCCCTATTTACTGGGATAATTAAGGTATCTTTTAAGTTTTATGAATTTAAAATATGACAATTCTAATCAATATACTACTGTATTACTTTATGTATGTTATAGTTATCAAGTTAACAGAAAGTTATTCAACACAGTTATTCGTATTTTCTTTTAAAACAAAGTGTTATCAGCTCTGATTCAGATTGAGGAAACGACAGTTAACCATAGGAAACGTAATTAACTTTCTTAAAACAATGTAATCTCTCGATCTGGTGTGAACTGTCCAGTCTAATATCAAAACTCTCCAATAATCTAGTGTAATTGAGATCATAAACTGATCAGTGTTAGGCCACCATTAAAACTTGGAATCACTAAGTGGCCGTTTCATCCTAGTATCGGACTCCCTAGCAGCACGCAGCCACAATCCCGCACTTCGGACTCGAACCCACAACAATACGTCATGTGCGCTTATGTTTAACATCTAGATCACTGAGCCAACATCCGATGGTCTTTATGTCCAATTTTAACCAATCTAAGATATTATGCGACTATCACGCATCACCTTACACCCAACACGGTTGAACTTCACTGGTCAATGGTTTCTTGTTGAAACTTCTAAAATTACCTCTTGAGATTATTGATCTAACACTGATCGGCTCAAGAACTCAATGAAACTCAACAATCTCCACAATCCTATACTAATAATAATCCAGTGATTATGAATAACTTCGATTAATCTCAATCACATAAATAAGAGTTCAATCAAGTGTGATAACCACTTTACTTAATATCTTAAAATATAATGTGATAACAACTTCTAGTGGTTATAGTGATTCATTTATTATTTTCATCTGTTATTCTAAGCTTAACTTTAACATGTATAAAGTTGTTCTTTGAAAAGATCATTAATCAACCAATTTAATCTGATCAATCTGATCTTCTACTTTCAAAATAATATTTTATATCTTTGAAATAATAGTGATTGAAATATGGTTCCTTTTTGTTATATTTTAATAAGTAGATCGGATTAAGAAAATGAATACATATACTAAATGGTGGTTGGAGTTGGTCGACAAGAAACCCTGGACCCGGGTTTCGTGCTACTTGGCACTCGTCAGCAAGGTGTACGTCTCTGACTGTGGAGCTGGGTGACACGGGATCGAATCCGCCAGGGAGCATCAGTTCCCTCAAAGATTACAGGTACACCTTGCTGACGAGTGCCATATAGCACGAAACCCGGGTCCAGGGTTTCCTGTTGACCACCTCCAACCACCATCTAATCTTACAATAGTGCCCGCGGTATCGAGTCACCTAGACTTGTGACCACATTGCAACATGATCGATAGCATTCGATCTGCACTAATAATAAGGACTAGACACGCATGACATTGGTCACCCAGTGATCAATCAATTGTGAATACATATTATACTGCATTACAGAATTACAATTAATCTAAATAACAAAAAGTACTTACATTTTTTAGGTAAATTTAAAATAATCTTTCTTTCTCTATTCATTTTATTTTCATCTTCTAAATTATAATTTGAATTAAGTTTATTCATTGTAAATGAACAATGAGATTGTAATCGATCATGTTTAGAATGACCAGGATATGTAGATGATATTTTTGTAAATGATGTAGAATGAAATAAATTTTTTTTAATTAAAATATTATTTTGATCATTATCGATTGTAATATCTTCATTATAATTAATATCATCTTCTTCATCATTATCATAATCATTATGATTTGAATTTGTATCAGAATTTGTATTGATCTCTTTCCATGTTATTTCATCTTTTGAATGTGCTTGAATAATTTCTTGTAAGAAATGTATATAACCAATTGCTAATCTAAGTGTATCTACTTTAGATAAACGTTTCTCATAGGGTAATGTTGGTATATGTGATCTTAAACCTATGTTTGTTTTTAAAAGAAAAAAAAAATGAAAACAAGGAACTATTTTATTCATTTCGATTGAATAATTGTTTATAATAACTAACTATATACATAGATAGATTGAAAAATGCTTAATATATAATATTTATTTGATTCTTTTCATTGATCTTTAGGACTATAATTGATCAGTAGCTAAGTGGATAACGTAATGGTTTTTGAAGCGGGTCCTGGAGTCCTGGAGTGAATATCAACTCTGAAATGCAAGTATATCTATTTGACAAGTCCCACGAATCCACTGTTATATGATTATTGGTTTAAAAAATGGGTTTTTGTAAGCTATTTATTTAGTTACACATTTATTCAAACAAATACGTTTCTATATTTTAAGAAATAATCTGCCTTCATCTTGTTAGTGTTCATTATGACAACGTATATGTTTTATTAAACTATTTCAAATACAAAAAATCAGCTTTAATTATTGGTAATTACTCTTTTCTGTTACTCATGAAAAATTAACAAATATGTTCCATGGTGTTCTATTGAAATAGAATCTTAGTAACAAGCTGACTAATGAGACACACAATAAACACGGTTTAACTAATATGTATCCTATTGAGTTATCTGTATTATTATTTCAGAAATTTATCTTCAATCGATAATTGATAATACTTTGAAAATGTTTAGTAAACTTGTGTTATAAACACAGTCTATTTAAACTAAAAATGTATATAAGCACACATAGTTACTTAATGTTGACATATAATAGCTCGATTAATTGTATTTACTTATCACAATTGTACAACTAAATATATTCTGAAAAAGTGACTTAAATTAAGTCACAAAACATCAGAAATACAATTTTTTCTACTCAATAGGATATAACAAAAAATATATTTAATATAAACGTATTTTCAGCTAAGTGTTTTGTGAATATTATAGTAATTTAATAGTTGAGATCATGAGTCAATTGAAGCTAGACCAACATGGAAAACCTGGAAGTTCTGGACGGCTATTTTGTCCCAGTATGAAACTCTTCAACAGAATTCATCTACGATGCTACCTCGCGAGATTCAAAACCATGATCTATCAATCTCACGTGCAAGCGTCTAACCACTGGGACACTAAGCCCGAATCCAACAGTATTAATGTGTAACTTTAACTAATCCACGAAATTGAGCCACTGTTTTTCATTGTTATCAGTACTTCGAAGTTGTTCATGGTGGTCTAACTTCAACTGACTCATAAATTCAACTATTAAATTTACATATTTGTTTTAAAAATATTTACTTGACAATTCACCCTCCCCCCACCTCACTTCATTATAATTGGTACATGTAAAGTTACCTTTCAAAAAATAGGGGGAATATTATTATTCTAGCCTATTTTACTTATATGTGTAAATTGAATGTATTTTAACTTTCATTCATTGACTTTTTTTATTATTTTTTAATCAATGTAACCGAATATTTCACCTTTTTTTTCTCTTTAAAAAAAACATCTGTCATCCTGTTTCTTTTCCTGTTTTTTTCTTGTCTTGTGATATAAACAGTTTTACTTTATCACAACAACAAAAAAAAGGTGAAAATGTTACACATTTTAGAATAGAAGTTACGTTTATTTATTATGTATCTATAAAATGATTAGTATCAATTCAGAAAAAAAAAAAGAAAAAACAACGATAATCTTATCATTATCAATTATTTTGATTAACCTTCAAATGCTTTATTAATTGATTGCATTCGTCTACGTTCACGCATATTAGCTGCTTGTCTTTGAAATGCATGTAAATTATGATTCTTGAAACGTCCAGTTTTTCTTATATTCATAATTTTAATACGATTTGATCGATATAATAATTTATTATTTGATCTTATTGAAGATAATGATCTTATTCTATCATGTATAGTATTAGTATTAGTATTAGTATTAGTAGTAGTAGTAGTATCATTACTATTTAATGAAATACTTGAACAATTTGATGATTCATTATCTAAATCATATAAGAATTCATTAGAATTTTCATAATTTCTATTATTATTCATTAAAATATTTGACTGTATCAAGTTTGTATTGAATGGTAATATAATATTATGATTATGTTTCATATCATTATGAAGAGATTTCAATGGATTTGTATTGAGATAACTATTATTATCATAATCATTATCATTAATATTACTACTATTATTACTATTAGTAGTATTGGTATTAGTATTATTATTATTATTATTATTATTATTATTATTATTAAATACTGAACTCGACCATGTATTGTAATCAATTGGTGTACATTGATAATTCATAGTATAATTTGAAGAATTACGTAATTGTATATTAGAATTAATTATATCAGAATTGAAATATTTTTCATTAAAATAAATTGTATCATTATTTGATTGTAAATTAAAATTTGTTAATTTAGGTAATTTAGATATTAATTTATGTGTTGTAAAATGAATAGGTGATATGAATGATTGATTAATATTATGTGTAGTTAATTGTTGCTGTTGTTGTTGTGGTGGTGGTGGTGCTGTTTGATTTGTCCAATATTGTTTAATATTATTAGTAGTATTAGTAGTATTTGTAGAAGTGGTAATAATTTCATTATGATAATTATCCATAATAGGTGTAAACCAATGTTGAATAGAATTACGTAGAATTGAAACTGGTATAGATTTAGTATCGAATGTCACTATAAATTAAAATGTATAATATAAACTTATTAAATTATATCATGGTTAATACTATTATATTTATTAAATTTTAACATGACTTTCAGGTTAAATTAGTCTTCTATGAGATATTATTCAAAATGACGTAGCTTTAGATGTATGTTTCAATCTAGTATGGGACTCCTGAGCAGGAAACACAAACGGTTCAGCCAGACATTCAGTTGTTTGAGTAAATGCTCGACTATTAGAATTATTAGATCAGCCTCAATGAAATTCTACCAGTAGCTGATATAGATCTACAATCGTGTGATTTTACTGTTGAAAAATGTTTCATTCTTGATATGATTTTCATATGGAACAATAAATGATGAATGAGTTTTATCGTACTGTCTAATCACTACTAGTTGAATCATTTTTTAAAAAAATCAAAAATTCAAGTGGCATGCATATTGTCTAGTCACTTAATACTCTTATAGATATACATTTACTAACTGAACACTGTATATTAATTGAAATTCCTTTGTCTAATCCTTAAAGTTAATAGAATTATATTAACGTAACAGTGTCACTAAACTAAATTATTGAACTTCTTTATACATTTATTTCTTACTTTAAGCTTTTGAATTCACTTGACAGGAAGTTTTACAATTAGGTTTTATGGTAGTTAGCACTTATCAACAAAAAGTATTTAATTCTCAAGTAAGCGTTTAACTGTTGAGCAACAAGTATTGTATGACTTAACTATATGACTTGAATTAATTTTTTTATGGTTAGTGTTTTTTAGCGAGTTCCGATGATGAACTCGGTGTATCTGTTGCAGATGTGAAGGCGTGGATTGACAAAGCAAGAATAGCATATTTACAACTGAAGAACATCTGGAACTCAAAACAACTGTCTATCAACCAACATCAAAGTCAGAATTTTTTAAACACAAATGTCAAGACAGTTCTACTGTATGAGACGGAAACTTGGAAAACTACGAAAGCCATCATCCAAAAGATACAACTGTTTATTAACAGTTTTCTACGCAAAATACTTCGGATCTGTTGGCTAGATACTATCAGCAACAACCAACTATGGAAGAGATCAAACTAGTTCCCAGCGGAGGAAGAAATCAGGATTAAGCGCTGGACATGGATAGGACACATATTGAGGAAAGCACTCAATTGTGTCACAAGATAAACCCTCACATGGAATCCTAAAGGTCATATGAGAAAAGGAAAACCAAAGAACACATTACACCGAAAACTGGAGACAAACATGCGATGAATGAACAACAATAGGATAGAACTAGAAAGGAAGGCCGAGGACGGAGTGAGTTGGAGAATGCTGGTCGGTGGCCTATGCTCCACTGGGAATAACAGGTGTAAGTAAATAAGTGAGTAATTCTATGGTCATTCACTGTCACCTTCAAACTAACTGACAATGGATTAGGACAATTTAATCTTGTTCATTCAAATTTTCAAACCTTATTATTACCTATATAATATACAAGCAGTTATTCTTTCTTCGTAATTAGAATTCATAATGATATACCTATTGTAAAATATATGACATATGTCATCATTATACATTCAAATCATTAAAATATAAGGGTATCCATCTTACTTTTTCATCAAAAAAAAGGGAAAAAATTACAGATCTTAATACATTCAAATAATGACATTCTAAAAAAGGATTATTTTCTATATTTATCACTTTATTTCTTCCACCAAATTAGTTTTAGTCCTATAAACAATTGATGGCATTATTCAGTGTTCGATACTATCAAAAACACTGAATAATCTTTAGATGATAACCAGCATTTTTGTTTCTTCATAATTCACTGAATATTTTGTTATGATGACATATCAATGTTAGACAAAAAAAAACCTTTGGTAGTTATCGTTTTATCCTTTATTCGATTTTCTTTAGAATCATTTATTCTATTCTACACCCCCTCCAACTCTCTTTTACTTTTTTTTTTAAAAAAAATATGCGTGTCATATTATTAAATAAGATAATTTGTTTCCACTGAATAGTTTTTAATGTTTTTTTTTAATATAAAACTTATACTATTCCATACCATTTTTATATAATAGACTTGATCAATATATTTTAAAAGTTTTTTAATAGTCTATTAACTGTTGTCCTTGTTGATGAGATGGGAGAAATGTCAGCTGGGCTTAAAGAAATCTTATGGAAACATTCCACTCCCATTGAAAGTAAAGAATTTAAACACCACCAACACTCCCATAAATATCGTCATCATTATCATCATTATTATCATTCTTTTTGCATAGACACACATAATCACACATTAATTTCTTCAGTTTTAGAAAACTCTACTATTCCTTCATATTATTAATGCTACTTCTCATTCTCTGATATTGTAACATATCCCCCGCCTCTATTAGACATAAACAAACACTTAATTTATGTATACACATACATAATTAATCCTCCTCTAAAACAAAAATTTTTGCCTTACAATAGTTTACTAAATAGATAACTTATCTAACTATCTATTTATCTACCTATCTACCTTGAAGGCAGAAGTACACATAGTGTAAATACTGGCCATTCAAAATTTCTTATATGTTTTAAATCATGCTGTATACAAATATGTGTATGTGCATGAATGTTCAATGAATGAAATATTTTATTCTGTCTCTTTGTGAAAGATAAAATTAGAAGAAAAAAAAACACAACATCTGTGGTAATTCACATGTTGTTCTCAAAAGGAATAACAAGGAATAAACACTACACCTTTCTCTATTGTCGAATGCCTGTATGTGTGTGTGTGTTTTTTTTAAATTTAGGTAAAATAAACTGACGAAAAAATAAGTTTATAAGACAAACAAATTATACAAATAAATCATTTACTAATTTGATATTAATGATAGTAACCAACTTGAAGTGTTTCAGCATAAAAACATATCTTATTAGAAAAGAATTAATAATATAATCGATTTGATGTTAAGTTATAAATTAAATAGCCACTTTTAAAGTTATATTATTCGTAATGGTAAGATGATAAAGAAGATTTGTAGTTCAGGTGGATGATTTTGATGAAGTTTTTTTCTCTGAGCTAAATAGTATAGTTGTGGAGTTTTTATTGTTCTTCTGAACGATATCATCAGTACAAACTTCAGGTGGAAGTGAAGTATTCGAAGCTTGTATTGAGGATGTTTTTTAGAAGAACTCCACAACCATACCATTCAGCTCAGAGAACAAAACTTCATCAAAAACGATAAGGGATTCTTTAAAAGAAACTTTATTATAACTTCACTATAGACTTTATCAACAATTTTATGGGTTAGTCGCTTAATTAGATTATTTTAGTAGTTTTGTTCATTAAGCTGAATGGCTTAGTCATGGAGGTTTGATCGTTCTACTGAACGACATCATCAGAACAAACTTTAGGTAATGAGGTTTTGGCTCAGTCTCATCAGTTGACAAGGATGGCCTAAATAATTAACATTAATAGTGTCCTTTCTTAATAAAATGCTTAATTTGATGAATAGCATGAGAAATTTTATTTAAAAAGCACACAATTTTTAAAATTATTTCAGTCTAGCCATCAGCTTTTGTTATTTAGTCCAACTTCTTTTAACGTTTAATTCTATTGAATGAACTCGAAATGAGATATGGTGAATTACTTGAAGAGAAAAACATCCAAGTCTGCACAACTCGACATAAACTATAACCCAATCAGTATTAATACATAGTGAATAACATCAAGGCAACCAACAATCTAAATGTATATATATTAGACAAATAATCCTGAATGCTTGTAAAAATATGTACTATTTATTAATAAACTATTTTGTGTAAATAGAGAAATCGAATGACCAGGTTAATCAGTGGATAAAATTTTTTGATTGAGATCATGAACCGATCAATGTTAGATCACCATTAAAAACCTGAAAGCACTGGACGGCCATTTCATCCTATTGTGGGACTCCTCAGCAGTGCGCATCCACGATCTCGGGATTCGAGCCCAGGGCCTTCATTCCCGCGCGCGAACGCCTAACCTACTGGACCACTGAGCCGGCATCTAAGGGTGTTAATGTCTAAAATTTTTCTAACTTAATATATGAAAATATCATAATGAAACCGATATGGAAAGCAACAAGCGACCAAGATTATTAGATTCTAATTTTATAAGTTGCTAACTGATTTATTAATTAACCATTGATTTTGTAAATAACAATTACCTGTGTTTATTTTAAGTTAAATATACACATGTTTAAATGATGAGCCCCAAATGGGACGAAATACAGTTCTTAGATTTCACTTCGAACTATTATACTTAAATATTTTGTATATAAACATACTATTTCTGTTGTAAAATAGGACTTAGTTTGCTGATTAGCTGTTCTGTCATTCAATATCCATTCATGGCTGTTGAGTCAATAATTTAGTTTTTATACACAATCAACACTAAGGTGTACACCAAACTTATCTAGTTAAGGGGAATGATTAAATACCAAAATAATTCCCACAATATTCTTTCATTATAATACAAGTTATTAAGTCAAACTGGGAAAAATTGTATATTAAATTAACACATTGTCATATTTATCATTATATTACTATAAATCCAGATGGTAATTCACACAAGTAGAAGAATAAACTTCTGTATGCCACTACTATTACTATTATTATTATTATTAATGTCGTTGATATTAATTTAAAGCATTCCGAATTTCATAAAAAACAACAGAATAATTAGGTACAATAATCCATACATTCATTCAGAAATGAATTTTAGAAATTTCATTTATTCTAAGTTTCATACATAAAGTTCCCTTTATCATTTTGAAAAGAGCAAAAACAGAACAATCGGACCTGTCAGAATTCGACCCTGGAGTCTCCTGATCAGGCCCTTAGTTTATTCAGTTAGCTGAGATCTTAAAAGTATACATTTGAGTTAACAAGTACTAAAATATTGATTGTTAACTGAAATTAGCAATTATATTCACTTGATGTTGTTTTACTTGTATCTTCCCTTTGTTATTTAGGACCGTAGTTGATCAGTCTCTTGTTGGCATATGTGCATTCTGTGCGGATAGCCTTGACATAGCCTTAAGTCACAAGATTTATAAGCAAAGGTGGATAGTGGCTAGCAGTGGAATCCATCAACTCTGAAATGCAGGTACATCCAGCTGAAGAGTTTCAAATAGGACGAAAAGTGCGTCCTGGATTCCACTGCTAGCCACTACCTATCTTTGATTACTAATTATAGTTTATACAAGAATGATGAGATAATAAATAGTTGACAGTGAGTGAATAACCTCATAAGATTGATAATACAAACTTATTATATTCTTGTGAGGAAGATTTTTAAATCACAAAATCAATAATCATGGTAACAAACTGGCTACTAACTGAGAACAATCATTATTATCAGTAAAACAATACAAATAAG